ATGCGGAAATGAGCACCTTATGCGAAGACGTGAAGAGAAAGAGGGACAGGCAAGAAAAAGAGAAACGGAAGTTGGTCGCGTTGAATCCGGCAGCAACTAAGTACGTAGGAATATATACCCTCTGCATGAAGAGAGCTGGCAGTTTGTGCGAGGCGTTTGATGTGACATATCACATGACCGGATGCGGGGGTAGGTAAATTGGTCGGCAATTGCTGACGCCACCAGAGTTGCAACCTATCGGCCAGTCACTCGGTCGCTCATCAACCTTGTTCACCTGTTGACGATTCTTATTGCTGGAATTCTCGCCTATCTCGACCGAAATCTTAGAAATCGTCCGCGTCAACGTAAAACGCGCTACGTCACCTTCCGCAATTTCAGGGAACGCATGATGAATCGTTCATTGTGATGTTGATGAATCGACCTATCATCGCAGTCACAGATCTCTGTCCAAGATTATATAAATTTTTAACGCTGTCTGAGTGTAATTAATTTATACGATTATTCGTTATGCAATAATTTCGAAAAAAAAAAATCAGAGGCACATTAATTCCAGTAATAATTTAATTTGCTAACTCAATAATGGTGTAGCGAAACGTGACATGCATACAAATCAACGAGATTTATTTCCCACGTTTATCGCATTAAATTAAATCCCCGTGGAAAAGGGAGCTAAATTCGACTGTTGTATTTCACGTCAATTAAATAAATTTTGCGGATGATTAATTGAAAGAATGGAAATGTAATGGCTGTAATTCATGTAGCCGTAGATTGCACTAAATAAAAACGTGCAAATATGGAGGAGGGCGGATAGAACGAACAAATATATTGTACAATGAACGTAAACGCGATACCGTGTGAAGCACTGATAAGTCTAATATCGCGCTATCAGATATTTTGAGAAATGTGCGAGTAATATGTCATAATTTTGATTTATCAGATGTAACCGTTATAAACGAATCGTAGAAAATATTCATAACTAGATATGCTAAATAAATATTCGCTCGATCCACAATTTTGGCATATAAGCGTACTTTTTTCTGTTAAGAAACGAATCGCTTTTCGAGATTTCGATGGTATTTACGTTATCGCAGAGCTAAGAAAAAAATTTATGGTAGCTGTGATTACACGATATTGTAATTATCTTTTTTACTGCTATTAATAACTGTTAATAATAATAATTATATGTACAGTTATATCAAAATAATTATCTTTATAATTATATTATTACCATAAAAATGATAGCAATTATAATAATTTTGTAGTAATTTTCAGTACCAACTACATATAATTTTTTATAGAACTATACACACACATATATAGTAATTATTATTACTAACATTATAGCAGTAATAATCATGATTATAGTATGTTGTAATCACGAATATCGAAAATTTGGTTTTTAGTGCAAATTGTTACACACAACATACAATCTGCGAGATTATTTTATAGTTTTTTATGATTTATCGCGTATGTCAATTAATTGTCACGATGTCTGCTATGAGATTACGGTCCACTCAGCGCAGCAAAGTCAGTGGAATCGAATAGAAGAATAAATGAAGAAAAAACACGCTTAGATCTTCGACCCCATGCATCACGATTCCTATTACGCCAGCAGCTCACCGCGTTGTCTAATTGTGGCAATTTAATAATGTCTTAATGAACACTTACGACTGCTGCCATGTGATCGCGGGTTTACCCGCCGGCCCAGTTGTTTTCTTCAGTATTCAAATACCGAAGGAAAATTGTCTCTACTTCTTTCGGAAATGTGATACGCAGTTTGTTTACACGCGAACACATGAACAAATATAGCCTTTTTGAGAAGCTTTGCAATAAAAGTATAAAATCGTAAGCAGAATGTCAACAGTAATATTAGAAGTAAAAAATAAGCCAGCTTCATTTATATTTAATACCTCTATATATGGAAAATAATTTTTTAATTCGAGTTAAAGAAAAGTTCAGAAAAGTTTACATTATCAAAAATTATTTCGTATTACATGAATTACATCGGAAACTTAATCTCTATAAAATTAGCCATGCAAGTAACTTGTCAATCAAGCAGAAATCATATTAATAAAAATCATATTTTAAACATATTTTAAATTTTTTTTTATAATGTTGTTTAAAGCATATATGAAGCATTTAAAAAAATGTAAAAAAATGTTCTATTCTAACAATGTTCTATTCTTGTAAAAGATAATGTTTTTTTAAACCTTCTGCCTGTGTATAACCTTTGGAAACCATTCGATGACTTTTCATTTACGTTTTTATCAGCTTAGGGTGTTTGCACTTCTACATGTGGACAAAAGGTTAAAAAAAAAACTTATCTTTTGCTAACTCTGTTGTTAAGCATATTTGTGCCAATTTGTTGAAATGTGTGTGCGCGTTAATTTACGATAACTGGGTAGTTTTGTCATATATCTACATGCTCCAACTTGTACGTGCATACTTGACAAATTTACTTAAACATGTGTGCTCGGTCTAATAAGAATTCACGAATGATAAAAAAAATTGGAGAAGTAATAGGTAACAGGTAGAAGATCTAATCATCTAATTGTAAGATAGATAGATATTTGAAAATGTTAATTTCACCCCTTCTTGAGTTCATATACTGAGAAAAAAAATTATTAACTTGATTAAATGTGTTTAGTTCGTAGTGATTATTTAGTTCAAGTATTATATTTATATATTTAAGTTAAATATACGTGAATCAATAAAACCTTATAATTTTAAACATGTTATTTGTTTGAATTAACAATTTATTTGCTTGGCAGTCCGTAACTGCTGCGTTTAATTGAATGAACTAATATTTTTTTGAAACAACAATTTTTTTCCTCAGTATATTATTAAGAAAATTATTCTGTCTACTTATTCTTTTTTAATAACTTCAGTGATTAAATTACTTCCTTTTAATTTCCTCCATTTCTTTTATCTTTAGTAAAACAATTAATTTTTAAACAATAAATTCTTTCTCTCTATCTCTCTCATTATTTTTTTCTCGCATTTACTTGTATATTTTAGAACAATTCTACTCACTTCAAACTTAATTTTTTTTTATCTCACATTTTTATATTCTTTCGCTTTGGCACTTTGGACCATTTTGTAACCTTACGCACCTTTCTTTTTATTTATTTTAATTATGTATTTATTTTTATCAAAGCGTTTGATGGGACTTTCCTAAAGCACTCAATGGTAATTTCCCTCTTCTCTCTCTCTCTCTCTCTCTCTCTCTCTCTCTAATCCCATTTATTTCCTTCAAAGTTCTTTTTATTGTAAAGTTATCAATGATAATTTGAGTACTTCACAATAGCGAAATTGTATCACGATCTGATAAACGCAGGAACTTTGTGTCTCAACATTTGGCCACTTTGTTCTACGATATCGTGCTTAATCGAAACTAATCGCACGTAATCCGCGCTGCACGATTTAATCCGTTCGCGCCAATCATCCTCGTCATCGCCGGCAAATACTTCACGGAAAGCGAAATCGTCCATACGAGAAAATTACAAAGACACGTAACTTCATTCCACGAACGGGACTGCAGAAGACTCGTAATGTATCGCTGGACAAACATCCGAGACACTACGAAACCAAAGGCCAAGGCAATGTGGGTGAAATCCGATGCTATGCGAGGAAGAAATTTGCTGACGACGATTAACGCGTGGGAATATTAAATAAATCGTCAAAGCTTGTTATTGAAGAATAAGGAAACAGATATACATTTATATTCAGATAACTCTTACCTTTTTGGCATTTTTATAATGAATCCGTAACTAACAGCCACATCATCTATCCTATGAAACATATTATTTCATTTAATTAAAAAATACAAAACAATAATTGAACCAAACCAAATCGACAGTATTTCTTTATGATTGGTCCGTTAAATTTTCTATATGTTCGACATCTTTTCTGATAAAAACATGAATTTTTATTTCACTAATAAAATAGTACAATTGCTGACTTTATAGTCATCCATTTGTAAGTAAAAATGTTTTTTTCTTCTTTCGCGAATTCACGAACATACACTGTAAAAAATAAAACGTTAATTTTAACTTAAAGACGTTTAGTAGATTATCAGTTTGAGACATACAAAAATGTTAAAATTAACACAAGAATGTTAATTTTAACATTTTTGACGAATCTCATTACATGTCTCAGAAAATCCACTATACGTCTTCAAATTAAAATTAACATTTTATTTTTTACAATGCAATAACTATAATTTTGAAAAACAGATAATATGAGAGATCTGTATCAATGATTAATAAATTTGTTAGTACAGATTTATTTATTATGAATTTAATTTTATTATTTATTAGATATAAATAAATATAATTGCAGATGAAATATATAATTTTAATTTTACGAACGTCCCCTTCCTTTCTGTAATATAATTGTCTGACAATAGGATGGTTATATTTTATTTTGTAGATGTTTTATGATTAGAAAAATACGTACATTAAGTGGTTACTCGACCCATAAAGTCGAAATAACACTATCTAAATTCACATTCTTTTACGTTATATTACATTGCGTAATATATAGAGACATTATGTGATTAAATACGCAAAATATCGAAAAAAAAAAAAAACATAAAGTGCAAAGAAACCTTCAATCGCCTTTTTTTAATGGAGACATTTTATTTTAAAAATTAATAATTTTGTATATAATAATTAATTTCTAAAATAAACTATTTCAATTAAAAAATGACTTGATATACAAAAATCCAAGTTCTGTTTTCCATTGAAAAACAAGTGATTTTACAACAAACAATAATAATTATTACATTTGTCGTAAAATAATCACTTATTTTTTAATGGAAATAATGACAAATAGAACTTGGATTTCTCTACATCAAAGTCGCCCAAACAATCCACTAGATCATTCGCAATCAGTGCGAAACCTGAGTACCTCAAGTATCTTTATACACGACGATCGTTTCGGCATGCCGGCGAACGGCACGAGGTCTTTTTCGGTGAAAGAGAGAAAGTCAAGTTTACCTCTGTCACGAGGGTGCTGTCGTAGTCCCTGGTGTCGTAGTTCCATCCGTATCGGCATTTGACGACCGGCCAGTCGGAGTTACTGATCGGTGGCGATGGCAATCGGGTTGACGGTAAGTCAAACGACGGAGATGTGATCAGTGACGGGCTATCAGTGGTGTTGGACAGATTGGCGCCTTCGAGCCACAAATCTATTATCTCCGTGTAGTTCACGTCATACATATGACACTTGGAATAAACCCTCCTGCCATCGGACTTGACCGTGTAGGGTAATGAGAGTGCCTTCCTCTCCTCTAACGACATCAGATTCGTCATGTTTTCCAGTTCCGGTATCCTGCACCAGTGCTCTGGCGAGGCGCTCACGAACACCTATCTCGAAATCGCGAGTCTTAATTAAGATTAATTATTCGGACCTGCGCGTCATTTTTGCATCTGCCCTTTACCGCTTGTAGTTATTGCTAATTTAACTTTAAATTCGATTTTTATTACTACAAGTTCGGCTTTTTAATAGACTGTGTAAGAATCAACATATTTAATTTTTTCCATGTTTTGTAAATTTTAATGTTGAATGGACACATTTTTTAAATTCATTATTTTGATTCATTATTTAAATTCATCATTTCTCTACGCTCAAACAACAGCAGGAAACTCATCAGATAAATTTTATTTATCTGCGAGAATACTGTTATACATAATTTAATTAATACTGCATGTATTAATGTTTATTATTGTGTGTGTGTGTGTGTGTGTGTGTGTGTGTGTGTGTAATCAATATATTTTAATTTATCAAAAGTATCCATATATTTACGTTATTTATTATAAATATGCGGTATTTTTTAAAGATAAAAATATCTTTAAAATTTGTATAAATTAAGAACAAAATTTATTTCGCGTCGTAAATTTTTTTACAAAATGTTACTATTGTTCTTGATGTTTTCTAAAAATAAATTTAAAAAAGAAAGCGGGTCAGAAAGGATAAAAATAACAAATAAATAGTTGTAAAAGGTTGCAATACTCCTTTCTGGTCGCTTTCTTTTTTAAATTTGTTTTGTAAAAAAGAAACCGCGCGCGATATATATTTCTAAATTATACTTTCTAAAACTTTTAAAGTGAATCTCACTTTACTCTGAAGAATGAAATTTTACTCTTAAAGATTGAAAATCGAGCCCCTCTTTTTCAAGAATTGCTCAACTTTCGTTCTTCAGGTGAGATTTCTTTCCTGTAAAGAATTTAGAGAGTACTCAAGGCACTGCAACCTTTAATCTCAATAATAATCTCCAAAGCTGAGGGCACATTTCTGAAGCGACATCAGACAACATGCTTACTTGTGAGAACGCCAAGAAGGCGGCTGGCAGGGTGGCGGGTATGCATAGCAAGTAGTACATGATGTTCTGGTATCGGCCCTTCTCTCCCACGTGTAGCAGCACCTCATCAAAGTCGATCGAGCTCATCTTTCCGGCGATACCACGACTCTGCCGTATCTCAACAGTTTGACCACGACAGTGTGAACGATCACCACGGCGACGGCGGCGACGATGACGACGATCGTGCACGATGCGACGGTGGTGTGGTACACCTTCGAATTACACGGCATGACCGCCGTCGCTCATCCTCGAAGGCAGCCACGCCGAATTACAAACGCACGTTTCTCGCCTCCTTCGTCCGAGATCACGCGCCGAGGAATCCTCCTCCTTGGTACTGTCTACCTTCCCTCGTCTCCACCACCCCCCGCCTCCTCCTCCTCCACCTCCTCCTTTTTCTCCTCGTCCTCCTCGTCTGTCCCCTCGTCTTCCTGTCGTCCCACTGCCTTCCTCCGAAGTATCCCCGAGCCTGTTGAATCGGACTGTTTCGAGAACGATTTCCACGATTCAGACGCGTGCTACAACTCTTCAGGTACACTGAGCTCAAGGTACCACCAAGATCACTATTACTATTGAACTTAACGAGTCGCGGTTGATCGGGTCCGAGATGTCGATCTGCATCTGGCTGCAATAACCACGTTGCACTTCATGTCTCATGTCGCACAAATTTCGTTAAGTTTGACTCAACACCGCAACGAAGCTCATCTTCGAGAACTTCAAGTCGAAAGCGTCAAGTCGATCGTGATCAGTTTGGTCCTCAACTGCGAGGACTCGACGAAAGGAAGGAAATTGATAAGAAGGAGAGCGATAGCCGCTCAACTATCAAGTGGTCTGATCCCAGTCGATCCTTTTCACTTGCGGTGAACCCCCTCACTCGCGCTCTCAACCGTTGTCTCGAGAGGATTGAGTTAGTCTCTTGCTTTTCAACAACCCTCCTGCGAAAATCGCTTTGCGACTGTTCACCACGTCTTCTCGCGGTAATAAGGGGATTATCTTGAACGATCACCCCGAGTAGTCTCAAGTGTCATCGAAAGCGCACCCGCGGTTTAAAGTCCTGTAATCGATCACGCAAATAACTTCTGGAGATCCGATTCACTTGATCGCGGCGCTCGTTGCGGCGCTCATTCACTCCTGACTGTTTACGGAAGTGTCCGATTGACTCGCCGTTTTTCTCCCTCTCTCTCCTTCTTTCTCTCTCTCTTTGTTAACGTGCATGCACGTTTATTAACGAACGCGCGCGTACTCCTGCACTCGCCGCAGCTCGCCGCAATTGAACACTTCTCGACACCGCTCGCGGCTCACTCGCGACAACGCAGCGGCTCCTCGTTTCGCGGTTCGAGGGACCGTCCCTTCATTCTCGTTCACGCACCGCGTCCGCCCACCACGTCACGATCGCGATCACGAGCGCGTAGATCCCGCGTGGATCCAGCCGCTGCGGACAGCAGCAGCGTTAACGTCGTCGTCCTCGCGATAGAGCGGCTCATACGCCGCGGGCATCGCGGCTACGACGATCAGCCATTGCCGGAGAAGATCTCTCTTCTGACTCTACCGAACATCATCTTCGTCGGAGTCTCTCCACCTCCTCTCTCGGCTGATCGAGAGCCGCCGCCGTCGCCGCAGTCTCCGAACGCTCGTCCGCCTCGCCGCTTCTCCGTCCTTCTCTCTTTCTCTCTTCCTCTTTCTGCAAACGAAATTCCCTTCGTAGTATGCTATTGTCTATCGCAAGTACTCCGCTGCTCGTTAGCTTCCGTGTGCAACGCGCGAGATCACGAGCGATCTCAGACATAGCGCTGATGGATTTAATATAAGGATCGCGTCTTCCCCAGAAAATATGTTATGTTCCAGAAAATTGATATTGCTTAAATAAATAAATGTTATAAATATCGAACGACAGTGAGATTATTTCTTGGAGACCAGAATTTCCTTTCTATTTTCCTTCTAGAAGATAATAAAATCTTTCATTGATAAGCTTGTATAGGTTTCGAAGATATTCACGATTTGCCTTTTCTCTGCTCGGCTAATGATTCTTATTATTTAAAACTTTTGGAGTAAATTTTACTCCGAGGAGTAAAATCACACTCTTAAAAATTGAAAATTGAATCACTCTTTTTAAAGGCTGGCTCAATTTCCACTCTTTAGAGTGAGACTTCATTTCTAAGAATTTCAAGAGCATTAGGTTATCGTAAAAAAGTTTATCATTTTCATTTACTTCAAACTTTGTTATTGAACGACACAATTGACTGCAGTAATATAGAGAAGTCATTATATCATATCTCTATAAATATTTCTTCATATCTCTATAAAAACTTCATGATGCCACGTTCCCTAAGTTTTTATCGGCAAAATATGGTTGAGCTTATTTTATTCACGTCGTTCACGCTAAATTTTTTATCACGAAGAAAATATTTTAAAGGACAATAATAATCAGAGGGAACGAAATCTCCAAAGAATAAGAAGAATAAGATAAAAAAATCCTATCAAACGCCAGCAATTTCGAACTGCCAAAGAAACGTCGAAGTCTCTTCAATTTCGGTAAATTGTGTCCTTCACGAAATAAAAAGAAACGAAAAGAACTTTTGGGACAACCTAATACAACGCTGGAATTTCGTAGAATTTATTCATGATATTAATGCTTGTTAATCACGCCTTCTATTCTCTATTCTAATTGTTCTTTTTCTACTACTAATCAAATATTCTTACTTTTGTCAGCGTTTTAAATTCATGTAATCACTTCCTCAAAGTTTCAATCTTCATGTATGCACAGATGCAGGGTGTCTTGAAATTCACGAATCAAAATATCAATATAGTAAAAAGGTTCTCGAAAATATTAAATTAAAAAATATTTTTCGTTCCGAACAGTACTTTTTGAGAGATAAATATGCAAAACTGGTCAATTACAGATTATAGTTAAACGGCGACCTGTCCATGAGTTGCTACACACAATGACTAACTATCGATGCATGACTATGAGTTATACATTGATAGTTAATGATCGCACGTGGCGACCCACATCATTGGTGGCAAAAACGCCTTCCAACAAAGATAGGTGCGTATCTCCTATTATGTTCGCAACATGTTGTGCTATTGTACTATTTTCAGCATTGAGATATGCGAATGCAAATCTCGCTTGCTCGACGCGAGAATAATTGCGCATTCTTATTTTCTCTTCAAATCCTTCTTCCCTAGAAAAGTGTTTTTTGTCTTTTTCGCAAACTCCTCTTTGAAAAAAATAAAAAACATTATTATTACTATTATTATTATTATTGTTATTATTATCATTATTACTATTAAATAGAAATCGAAGTCCGAGTCGAAAATTAATCATCGAAATGAATTTAAAAAACTGCAATATGGAATGTCGAATAATATCTACAAAGATATACGTCGTTTCTTTATAATCATTAATTAAAATTAATTGAGATTTGATTAAATCTCTGTTTAATTAACTCGAATTAAAATGGTTGTGGAAATGATTTAGCAGGAATTATTTTAATACGCATGCAAATATATTCCTCTGGAAGGTGAAATGTCAAACATATTGAGTACACATGACGATAACCAGAATAAGGAAGCGCTTATTGCAACTAATTCTGCAAAAAGCAGCTTCTATCGAGCGAGAATAACAAGTAATGTTTGAAATTTACGTCATCTGATGTAGGCTACGATAAATAGAGGAGTAAGTATAAATGTATTTCCTTGTTTGTTTCCAGTACGTTTATAAATTATGATCATCCGGTGCGATTGCGACGAATTGTCTGTTATACGATTTTCTATTTTCTCACACAAAAATTTTCATAAGCGCGACATTATATTATTTGTGTACTTAAAATGATTGCCCAGCTAATAATGATATAAAAAAGTTGTGTATGTCACGATTTAGCATTGTACTTCGCACCTTATAATCCCTATTGTATCTATTCTTTTCAATATTAAAATATAAGATAATATATATACAACTAAAAAATTTCCGACAATGCAAGATATAGAATATTTTCACTAAAAATGCAAATATTTTAATAGTTCTCGATGTAATTATACAAAATAATACAAGATGTCCTAAAACTGATAATAAATATTTTAAAGACAGATTCTTTGTAACATTTTAAGATGAAAAGTCTAATACAAAAGTGTTGAAGCTAAAATAGTTTTCAAATGGAAAGAATTTAAAAATTACGAATGACAGAAGGGCTAGAATTTTGTGAGGTCAGCGATGGCAAGATGATTAGTGTAAAAGTGCTTCCTCGAATACCATTTTCTATATGAATACTTGAATATACCTATAATAAGCTTTCTTTTGTCTAAGAATTCTTTTGACTTACAATTAGAGACAGTAGATATTTAAGGCAGCGAAACATAACAAAATGAATAAAATGACCGCACATGCAGTGTTATGGCTAGATAAGGCCGTTAATGGCATGCCCCCACGTGCTTGCTGATAAATTAATATCGTCACGAAATCGTCGATAATCGAGCTTGCAGCACATGCCTGTCTTCTTCTCAAAGAAGTCTTTTCTTAACAAACGATGATAAGAACTCGCACAGACTTAAAATCTTGCCAAGATTTTATTTACTGTCGCATGGAAACGACCTATCCGATTTTGTTAAAGTGTGGCGTGATCATGCGTAAGCAATGGGGAAGTTTTGATGATACGAAATGTTAATATTTGTTATTTTGTCTGAAGGAATCAACAGTAGTCAAACTGATAATGCATTTTTCCTGTAAAATAATACCTTCGTATTTGTGGAATTTGCGTAGCTGATATTGCTTTGATAATGATACTAAAATGACTGATCAGTTTATATTGTCATTATCATAATATTTACTGTATCACAAATGTTATGTTTTAACGTAAACGATGTTATGTTTTGGAATTAAAATGGCAAATAAATCTCTCCTCTTTAACAATAAAGTATATTTAGTTAGCTTTAAACGAAAAGAAATCTCTTAGAATTTGGATCAAGTCCCTAGTTCTTATGCAAAATTTTTATTTTGATTTTATTTTGATATAATTTTAACAAAATAATTTATTGTCAATACAATAATCAATATTAATAATTCAATAATTTAATCGACAACTTCTATAAACTTTTTAAAATAATATTATAAATATTATTTAAAATAAAATTTATTTTTAAACATATATTTTTAAACATATTAACAACATTTTAAGCACGACTATATATGTGAATACATTAAATATGGTAATAAGAGAAAGCCAAGATCAGTCAAAAATTTTGAATGTCACAAATAATACATTATATATTCTATTATTAATTTTTCTATTATAAATCAATTTATTCCAGATATAATTAAGAAAACTGCTTATTTTGAAAAAGGAGAAAATAAAAAATGACAAAATTAATTAATAATTTCACTGTACTAAAAATGTACTAAATTTTAGAAATTAATTGGATGAATTATTAATTAGATGTAAGTATTTTTTTATTAAGTACATATTTATTTACATAAATAAATAATTAGTTAGTATCATTGAAAAAACATGTATATATAAGATTTAGTAACTTTTTTTCTCAATGTATCTACGCTCCTATATCCTATTCAAATTTTAATTGGCCGTCGATTTCTCTAATCTGCAATTGTAAGATTTACAGGGCTACATACGACACTTTTCTATTTAGAAAAGGCCTAGCAATCAGCCTGCCACTGACGTCAGGTAACCCTAGACCTCGGGACACATGCGGCTCACCAGCGTACAGTCATGCCTCTCTCATTGTTCGTTACAATTACGAGTGACGTCACGGGTGCAAACAATGTCATTCCGCTTCGCACGCCTTCGTATTCTGCCCATCCTTCTCTTTCTTCCCTGAGCGCGATCTCCCGCTTGTTCTCCCCGCCGTTTCTATCATCTACGCGTTCGCGGTGCACGCGAATCCGCGCGCCTACGCGACTCTTCTTAGATTCGTGTCATTCCTGATGTAGGACATTTGCAATTTTAATTTTTTTTGCAATTTTATGCAAATCATGCGTTCCCTGTTTTTCTTGCCGATTTCTCTTTTCAGTAAAAATATTATATCGTAACCGTCTTTACATAATTTTTTTTTAATCGCTTAAATATGATTTTATTTACAAGTTTAACTTTCAAGAAATATTATTACAAAAAAATAATATCCTGTTGTAATTTATAAAAAGTAGATAAATTTTTAATACTACTATATATTGTGATATCCAATAAAATCAATAATGACAGTTATTAAAGATCAAACTTTTATCTAAAGATAGACAAAATGACATTGTTCAATTTCGTAAAATTTTCGCAAAATGTCCTTTTCGATGCTTTGCTCGAAGCTATTAAACTTTCACATCGACCTGATACATACATAAATAATGCATCTTATTATTTATTAAAACGTATTTATTTATTAAAACGTATTATTTTAATAAAACGTATAAAATGCGTAAAATAAATAAAGAAATAAATTACATAATACATATTTTGGCATTCACAAATATTTTGCGACAGATAGATTTGACAAATCCATTCTCATATTTTTCTGAACATTATAGAAATAACTATTGTATAATAAGTCAATGAATTTTCAATATTATCACTGCGTCGTAAGAAATCTAATAAAAGTTTCTATCTCTTGATATCAATGTTATCCCTTTAATCCAATTTAATACTGGCCAATTTAATTAAGTAAAATTAATGAAAGGTTACTGAAAGTGATTAATTATTTATTTTGAGTATTAGAAGCACTATTACAACACTACTTTGAATACTTAAAATAGATAATTAATTATTTTTTTGCATATAATTATATAAAAAATTGACATATTTTATATACAATTATATATAATTATATATAAATATGTTCATTTATATAACATTTTTTCCCAAGTATCTTTCAGTATTAAATTTCTATAACGGAATATTACGAAGTCTCGATAATTATGCATCGATCTTTAATATCAATTTTAAGAAAAACCTGTTTTTATATACTTTTGCAACTAATTAGGGACGTAGTAATTTCTATCTCCCCCCCCCCCCAACGGAAGGAAAAAACGCTGCCCCACAAAAAGGACAGAGGGGGGGGGGACGCGGGGTGACGTGGATTCTCTGACGTGGTCGACTATTCAGACATATCGCAAAATAGAGATACAAGTCAATTAATCGAACACGTCACAAAATGCAGATCATATCATGAAGAGAAAATCTAATAATTCCTCTAATTTAAGCATTCCCTGATAAAGATAATGTACAGTGTCTTAAAACGCTGCATGACAGTTTCATACAATTTGCAAACGTCGATTAGAACATAACTGGATTTGTCTATCAATCTTTATCTTAATAAGGACAATTTGTATGTACCTACACAAGACTCATCAATTGTATTATTAGTTCCAATTCTCAAAAGATGGTTTAATAAATTAATATTACAATTTATTTAGATATTCCAAATTCTGAAGTAATCAACTTTGATTTAACATAACAGTTTCTTTCTTTGTCTCCATAATAATCAGAATTAAATTACATTTAAGTTAATTTGCATTAAAATAAGCGTTCTAATTTTAAATTTTCATAAAATATGACTTTGCAAAGAGACAACTATAAACTTCCTGGCGCCTTTCGTCAATGATCGATCCCTCGTTCGATCTTACCGATGCCGATTTCACGCCCAGCGGCCTGCCGCGAAGAATCGAAGAAAGCTCGATGAAGCGTCCGGCCGCCGCTTCCTCTACGCTGCGCTGATTGAAATGCGGCAGCGCGTAGATGGGGGCTGATGACGAGGATGATGACGATGCTCTCACTTGGGTGGACCACCTTGACGATCAGCCGGGTTTCGCCTTCCTTTGCGAACCCGCGAACACAAGAACGCCCAAGGCGTCACTGTATAAGCCCCCGATCAGCGCTTGCTCGCTCGCAAGCACGCACGTATGTACGTACGTTCACGCAACGAGAGACACAAATGCACGCACGCACGCACGCACGCATGCACGCACCCACGCACGCACACGTACAGTCACTTAACGCGACACTCGGAAGTTCAGTGGAAGCCACGAACACTCTTCAGCGAATCAATCGAATCACTGCACCGCCCAGCATCCGGTCACCTCCGTTCTGCCATGATGACATGTACGTGTGTATTGCGCGGGTTTCGCTACGAAATAACGTGATTTCACGATGTTTGTCTTGGACGACTGCTACCGCAAGTCGTCATCCCTCACGCGAATTACCGAGGGAGAGGCAGGAAAACGTACCCCGAAGTGTAGAACAAATCGAAGGTACTCGATGCTTCTTCGAGTCTAGAATGTCGTTCATTCAAGGCTTGCAACCCTTTGGATCTTTTATCTCTTTACTTAATGATTTTTTTACGGATCATCTTCTTTCGTTACCCCTCTTGAGTTCTCCATTTTCTTCCTAGCAATGTCTTCTTCGAACTCTCTCGGTTCTCTCTCCCTCTCCTCTCTCTCTCTCTCTCTCTCTCTCTCTCTCTCTCTCTCTCTCTCTCTCTTCCTTGCTAGCTACTATTTCTTTCTTTACATCGCTCACCCTTCCCCTTCGATTTGTACCTTTTTTTTCTCTCACCCTATCCTCCTCTTTATCGAGCACGCTCTGTTTGTCTCACACCCTGTTAAGGAATACACAACTACCTAGTACCAGAAGGAGCAAGTAGCTTCCATCGCGAACTGAAACTGAAGCTACCATGTAGAGATACAAGGGGTCCGTGCGTTATACCGTCCTCGTACCTATCATTTCGAGGCTCCCCTCGAGGTCTCCCCTCTGTCCATCCCGCAGATCTGATCGCTCGATCTCCCTCGATCGATCATATGAACCTCTCGAGTCCTCTCGCTCCCTCGTGACCGATTCCCCCTTCCCGACCTCTTCCACTTCCCAACAACAATCCTCGGAGACCGCTCTCCCCTGGCTCCCGCCATCCTAACCGAGGTGGCCCTCTCGGTAACGTGACACACAGGCGGCTATCTCGACTATTAATATATAAAATGGGGTTCCTCGACTCTCGCCGCCCGGTAATTGTGCCCGCGCGATCAACACAGCGCGGTACTCTCTCGCCGATTTAAATTTGCACACCGGTCTAAACCCTTTCTCGCGATCTCTTTCTCTCTCCCTCTCTCTCTCTCTCTCTCTTTCTCTTTCTCTCTGTTCTTCTTACTGACTTCCCAACTGTTTATTTCTGTAAAAACAATAAAATTTATATTCCCCCCTTCTCTCTCTCTCTCTCTCTCTCTCTCTCTCTATTCTTCTTACTGACTTCCCAACTGTCTATTTCTGCAAAAACAATAAAATTCATATGCTATAATTTTATAAATAAATCTACTAGTAATGTATTGTTCAGTTTTAACAAAGAGAGAGAAGAGCTCAAGGAAAAGACTACCAAAACATCAAATGGAACAATTTATTACTTGAATAAGTTGGTGGTCATTCGCACAATAAGAAAAAAATGTACTCAATTTTAATAAATATTTATTTAAGTAATATCAACTAAAATTTATTTATGATAAATAAATATATTTCCTCATTAAAAAAATGCTAGTAAAATTAATGATTTTTGTATTAAATAAATATATCTTTATATTCAGTAAATATTTATAGTTGGTACTGTTCAAACAAATGATTGATTAAAAAGTAATTTTTTAAAATAAATTTTACAAGATATCTTCTTCAGGATAAGCAAACTATTATCCTTTTTTTCTTGATATTACTTATAGAGAAAAACCTGGTTCTTTCAATTTCTCATCAGTTTCTTGCAATTAATATTTTTAAACAGCACATATTTTGACATATTGAATATTTAAAAGTCATGTTTGCGCTCTCAGTTGTCATGTAAGTACGTTACTACAAAGAGAAATGATTTACTACGAATTTTCATATCACTTTAAATTTAAAACTGACGGAATAGCCCTGCACGACCCTTTTAATATAATACTAGCACTAGCCAATTATAATCATTTATCTTATGTATTAAAAATATTATTATTAATAGTACTTTTGCATTCATTATAACGGAAGAAAAAGATTTTATTAATTCCTAGATAGTTTTCTGCCTGAAAGCGTTTATCAAAGATAATACTATGAGAGCGTGAGGGTTCAATCACGGTCGAACGAGATTGGAAGGAACCTTGTCGTTCCATTTGAATAAGAGCACTCGGTATCGGGGTAAGATAGTCGTCCAAGTATCACATCCGCATGCTCAAATCAGGGCTCAAATCAGCGGATGCTATATTGAGGCAGGTTCGCGGAGCACAGGATATTATCACACTAAATCTCGCATTTGTATGTTTAAGCACGTCGTCAAAGTGGGAAGGTGAAGAACGAAATATAAAACTGTCATACGCAATGTACATTATATAGAATGCTTTAAATAACGTTGATAAATTTGATATACACATCTTTTGATTAATTCCGTATTATCCGACTTGTAGAGAAAATTAACGTCTTCTCTAATACTATTCGTTATAAGCTTTATATAGTATTAAATAATGATTAAAATATTAAGGACACTTTGAGATCATTTTTCATTATTTAAATTAATGCAAAATATTTTTTATCTTTAGGTTCGTTTAAGTCTCGTTCTTAATATATAAAATTTTGCGATATTAGAAATCGAAAATATTATAAAATATATATGCAAAAATAAATTATAAAAAAGTAAACTATTTTTCAATTACTATCTCTATCTATTTATTTTTATATGCAGAATAATTAGAGAAATCATGTTACATAAAAAAATTATATAATTTCATTTAAAAAAAATATTCATCATGAAATAGTGATCATGAAAAAAATCGATTAAAAAAAAATTTATTTTATCTCATTATTTGTGTTCTCAAAAAATGTTCTTTGTGAATCGAAGAAAATCGACTACGATTAATCGATGTTTCTTGTTTTCTTTTTTTGCAAGACTTAATTTATTCCTTTGTGTGAAAATTTTGAACAAAAAATAAAGAACACTGGCTTGAATATCTTGAAATAAGGTGAAAAGTGGGCAAATTTTTTGCAAACTATATAATTCACTAGATGTTAACCAATAAAATTATAAATATTCTAGTAATTCACTTACTTTATAATTTTCACCTCATTTCGAGATATACGATCGACCTTCTGGGCTATATTCAGATTCCCATCCGAGGCCACCTAGGTCGTTGGCTGATATCCAATTTTGTAACTACTATAAAACTTTTTAATATGATTTATCTTGCCTTTAGTTATTCTCACAGAATCTCACTCTAAATTTTATATTTAAACCGTAATCTTAAAAAATTCGTATCACAGAAACTATTTTTTTCTGTTAAACGCAGCAATTTTATCTTTGTATTGTCCATCGAACATTAAACAATAACAAAATGATATATACTCTCTAAAATTTTTAGAGTGAATCTCACTCTTAAAGATTGAAAATTTATGCCCATTTCCATTAATGTAGATTAACTTTAATTTCGGTTCAATTTATTCTTCGTCTTTTTCAAATCTTTAGAACTAGAAAAAGTTGAGACGAGAGTAAATTGATGTAGATTAAAGTTAATCTACATTGGTGGAAACGGGTAATAAGCCATTCTTTTTTAATTGGTTCAATTTTCGCTCTTTAGAGATTTCACTTCAAAGAATTTAGAAAGTAGGAGAGACACTATTAGCACTATTTACCATTCTATCTTCATCGTTTATTAAACGTAAAATAACAAATACATAATGCTCATAGTATCTCTCCGAACGCACCCCTATAATCTAAATTCTATATGTACAGAAAGCACGTGAGTGGAAATGATTACTTTCTATTTAATGACATAAGTCGACACAAATGGTATTCTATGTTTTTTGGCGCTCCATAAATAATAAAAACAGAACGATATTATATCAATTTGCGCCACCAAATGAAAAGTACCCAAAAAAAATCTGAACATGCCTCAGGGTGCAACGGTTTCAAGATATGGACTGGTTGTCACGGTAACACGTGACATGGCGGCGTCCAGCGTACACATGACTCCAATTTCCGATGCTGCGATATACGCGACTGTGCAATTTCACGCCAGCAGGTTATACAAAATAATCAGATCTATTTGATTTATTCGCTATGTCGAATTATAACGAAATAGGCTGCAGTCATTCTGGCGCAAGTGCATTAATGTGTAATGTTAAGCCGAGGCATGTAAGATCTTTAAATTTTGGACAATCTATCCTCGAACTCAAGCCCATTGATCAGTGCTGCGTATCGAATAGCGTCGTCATTGATGACAATGTGGTTCATATACCATATACCGAGAAGAAAGATTACGTACGTAAGTGGCTCGAGACTCTCGAGAATAGCAGATGCGATTCCCAAGCGTCCACCGTTTTAGAAACATCGACGACTACGACCTTCCAGACATCACCGATACTCGGTAATGGCAGGAAACGACTTAGCAAAAAGATCTGTGTAAACAGAAATGCTTCAGAGAGAAAGCAGGGCAATATGGATTATCAGGGAAGTGCAGGGCACTCTGCAAATTATACAATGCAGTCTAATAAGCCAAATCATGGATGTAAAAAGAAGAGTAAGGAGAATAAATCTATGAATAAGACACAGCTCATACCATCTGGTATGAAAAAAATAGCTGTTCACGAGACGTCTCCTGTCCTAGGTACGCATCGTACTTTGAAGAAAAAAAGAAGAAAGAAACTATATTATAAAGCAGAGAATAGTGCTTCACCAGAATCTTCAAAGTTACATGATCATAAAATTTCAAGTTTAAATGTAAAGTCAATAATGGAATCTGATACTGTAATAAGTTACTGTAATAATCTCAGAGAGATACCTGTTGACCAGAATAAGTTAGAAAATAATTTGGATACTAAAACTAAAACTAAAACATTTATTTGGACTGAAGAAAGGGAAAGTCCAGAGAAATATCAGAGATATATAGAAACATTGTCACCGTCGACACAAGAGAGATTGAGTTTTGCTGATAGCTCAAGTAATAAGACTAATAAAAATGATTCAAAAATAGAAATAGGTACAAACAGTGATAGCGAAGGTGAAGAATACAATAAACTAACAAACACATCTAGCAGTAACAATGATCTGAGCCATTTCATAGAGGACGTCGAGACGCAAGAAACTGCAAAAACATCTCAGTTTTCAATAGTAGATAAATATTCGATTCCTTCAAGACAATCATTTGACTTGGATGAAACTTATTCGAAAACAGAAACGATGCTGAATCAAAGTATACCTCTCTCCACTAAAATCTCTGAGATACAATCTTTAAATAAAACTACACAGAAGACAGGCAAATCGACCCAAACTGCCATTATTAGCACGATAACAACGCCATCGAGAAAGTCTCCCGACAGGAATATGTTCACACATCTTCTTGACTCTGGAAAGAAACGTCGGAAACCTAAAAAGTAAGTATTAATCTATATATACATAAAGTAATACACAGAAGTATTACTTCAACAAATTCCAACAATATTGCAGTAATATTGGAATTTGTTGAAATGTTGCTGAAATGTTGCTGAAATGATCTATGTTATATGAACAATAACGTCTCATAAACATGATTTCTGATGTTGTATTTTCGTTTCAGAGGAAGCATGGCTGCGAGACTGCATTCTTTGATTAATGCGCAAGTGTCCAGTATTCGTATATGGCATTATCGATTGAATAAAGAACAGGATATTACATCAGCACAGTACATCAGTGTACTTGTACACGAATGTACAAAGCAATTCAAAAACCAATTTCTGGAAGGTATCCTAATCGAGGATCGCTTTAACCTTCTGCAAAGCGACATACAGATCGAACAGGCAGAAGCACATAATACTCAGGTTCAATTAAAGGAAGTCTTATACAAGAATATAACAATTATGTTGGTCTGTGATATAGTTGGTACATTGAAAATGATATCTAAAGTTGTGATAAACGTTTATCCACCTTGGAATATTTTAGATAAAGATGATCTTATCTTGGAAGCAATGTATATAAATATAAATAATAATTGTGAAATACCTAATATTGAAAACGCGGGGAAATCGCATAAATGTATAAAACAAATTCTCAAAGAATTTAACTGTCCTTGTATAGAAGAACAGAGAGCATTGCCGTTCTGTGCAAGAAAGTCTAGCAGTGATAAACCCGATGTGATGCAACAGATATTTAATTTCTAATTCAATTTACACTTTTATATATTTAGCAATAAGATAATATATGTTGCATATAATATATTTGCAGGTTGCACTTATGAAAGCATTTTATATAATCTTTTTGTTCAAGCTGCTGACTATAATTTGAATTAGTTACATACAATTGTGATAATTTTGTTATAAAATCTAATTAATTAAGTGATACAGTATAAAAGTTAAGTGTGCAATCTGTATATATGTAGAGTCAATCATTTTTTAATCAAATACGTTATACATCGTGCGATATTTTTTATAATATATTAGATTAACAAGAAATTGTTTAATATTGTATTTGTAATATCGATATATAATATTTGTTATACGTAATAAATTAATATATATATTTTTGTAATCAACAGTAATTATTTGTATTAAAATGTATCCCTCTAATTGCGAAAGACTGCAGTATATTTATAAATAGAAAATTCTAAGTTAATAAAAAAAGTAAAATTCTAAATTAACTTGCAATAGATAAAGTCGATCACTGTCTTCCAGAGTTTTATTGCTATTATGAATTCACAACAGATGGCTCTGTATTTCATGATTTGCCAACGTTCTCTCTGTTGTGAAGAATGTCAAGTGTTGTTCGTGTTGTTTAGTGTAATAAGCTGTTTAGCTGCCTATTGTGCTTTAATTTTATTATTCTTGATGTTCTAATATAATCCGTAATAATTATTATTATAAAAAGAAAATTAACGATATTCGCTACATAAAGGTATGTAAAAATTCTTAGATAGTTTCATGTTATTGAATTAAACTGCTCAACATTAGATATCTCATCGAGTTGCTACAATCTAATTTAATAAAGTTCAAGATCATTCCATGAGTGTCAGATGGACATGACACTTGCTTTGCTAAAGTAAATCTCTGAAATCTATGAACAATAGGCAAATGCTTCATTTCTTACTGCGTGTACCTAACCTAAAAAGAATTTTTCAGTATCATTGAGATATCATGAGATACCGGTTTTATTTACAGTTTTAGAATAATGTCGATTACTCAAGATCGTCCCGAGTTATATGAAGAAGTTAAGCTGTATAAAAACGCCCGGGAAAGAGAGAAACACGACAATCAGGCGGATCTGTACGCCGTAGTAAATACATTGCAACATTTAGAAAAGGCTTATATCAGAGACTGCGTTACGCCAAAGGAATACACAGCAGCATGCAGCAAACTATTAGTGCAATACAGAGCAGCTTTTAAGCAGGTAAACTTTCAGAGCTTAAAACAAGATCTGAATGTGTCTCTTTGTATATATGATATTTAGAAATAAATGTAATTCTTCATCTATAATCTAAGCCTCCTTTTTTCACAACATTCATTCTTAAATTTCACTGAAATAACGAAGTTTGGTTCCTCTTTCTAAAATAATTGAAAAAAACTCTTTTATGAGATGTAGAAAAGTAAAAGACATACAGAAAAGTAATCATGAATTTTTCCACATTTTTGAAAGCCTACAACAATAAAAAAAACAGACAGAAAAGAATTAGATTATAGAAAGAAGTTAAAATATGATTGCAGAAAGAATATAAACTCTTTAATTATTTACGTCTCGTTATAGGTACAGAGTGATCAGTTTCCAACAATTGACTCCTTTACTAGAGCATTCCGTTTAGATTGTCCTGCTGCTCTTGAAAGAATCAAGGAGGACAGGCCGATCACGATTAAAGATGACAAAGGCAACACTTCTAAATGCATTGCCGACATTGTTTCGTTGTTTATTACACTCATGGATAAATTACGACTGGAAATCAAAGCCATGGATCAACTGCATCCGGATCTGAGAGATCTTATGGACACCATGAATCGTCTCAGTATACTACCCAGTGACTTTGATGGCAAAGAGAAAGTCTCAGAGTGGTTACAAACTCTCGACAATATGTCTGCCTCAGACGAATTATCGGATACTCAAGTCAGACAATTAATATTTGATTTAGAGACATCCTACAATGCTTTTAATAAAATACTTCATAATTCTTAATTCTTCTTTTCTGTTAAATTGAATTAATCTAATATTATCTATAATATGCAAGCCTTGATGTAAATATCAGTTATAAAGCTGTTTAAATGAAATTATGATTAATAGATAAAATATAAAATAATTATTTGTACAAATTATTACTATTAATTAATTTTATCGTAAAATGTGGATTGAAGAATGCTCGAGGTTTTTTCCTATTATAAATAGTATTAGTTGATTCAGTTGTAATATTTGTAGTATTTGCAATTACATTTTCTTTTAAGCAATAATTTACTGTTTTATGTCATTTTGCATTGTTCCTTGAGTCATGTGTAAGATTCATAGTATTTAAGATTCTTGCATATATTTTACTGCTAAGGCCTGGTTCTACTAATGTAAGATTAACTTTAATCAGTTTAATTTAGTTTCACTTATTCTTAAAATTAAAAAAGGTAAAAGTAAATTGAACTGAGGTTGAAGTTAATCTTACAATGGTGAAACCGAGTCGAATGAAACTATAGGCTTGTTCTTTTTAGCTGAATTGTTCTTTTTTTCTTTTTTCTCTAACGAAAGAAAAATAAGAAAGTTGAACTGTGCAAGAACTTCAGTTAAAAAGGACAAGCCTTTTATTGAATATACATATATGTATACATACGAATATAATATTATATATACATAAAATTGCGCAGAATAAATTATTTTATATGTAATTCTTTGTAAACGCCAACCAGATGAATTGCTAAGCGACGCTTGTATATTATCGTGTTATGTAATATATTATCAATTAAGCGAATAAAAAGGCATTTTAATAGCTGGAAGTATCAAATACTTGCAAACATATACACATCCTACTACAGGCGACTATCTAAATTAAATTCATTCTATTTAATCGGGAATGTTAATTGTCCTTTGTGTCAAGAGATTCACGAAACTTTCCAACGGCCGCGACAACAGGCGCACTTTATCACCGCGCGGCAAGGCGCTCTCGCCTCTCCCGGCCGCGGCGGCGCGTTCAATGCGCAACAATGACGCTGCCGTTCAAAGCCGATATTTCGCCGGTTCTGTTTGCGGGCGGGATGGTAACGCACGGGTTAATTCGCGCCACGTCCCTTTGATGTGCCAGGAGCAGACTTTTCCCGAGTCGAGTATTTACGCGGGCACACCCGGTATGCAAATGAAGAGGGTGGTCCTTCGGCGCTCGCTGCCACGTCGGGATACAATAACGGCTGAACTATTGACTAAACTAAACTAAACTAAATTAAACTGAGCTAAACTAACAGCCAGGTTGTATCTGCCAGTCGTGCCAGTGCGCCGCATTCGATGTCCGTATGCATGGGGGGTGCACCTACCCCCGTCGTCACCTTGCACATACTCGGGAAATTTACATGCAATAGGAATGCCATTATTCGCAAGTCAAGAGCCAGAGAGTTTCGACAGCTGAAGAAACGCGTCTTGAAATTAGTTTCGCTCTTGTGTAATCATCTGAGTAGAATATGAAAAGTGCAGATATATTGTATTATTTTCTGTTACAAACTATCTAATATGTATAAATAAATTAATAAATTAAGATTCGAGTTGGACTTCCGACTGAGGCAACATTTTTCGCAATAAAATATGATGTCAATTGAACATTAAATTATTAAATTGCTTGTTAATTTAGTTTGTGATATTACTGTAGTTGCGTTTCTACGAATGGTATTCATAGTCAGATCTTATTCAAGACCGTCTTAAGTACACCCGGGAAAAAATGTTTTATATATTATTATATAAAATTGTGTGTGTATAAAAATATATATAATTTTATATAATTGTATATAAATGAACATAATTTATTTAAAATTCAGAGTTAAATCTTTTTATATATATATAATATATAAAGATGAAGCTTGGAATCGAATTACTCTGTGTATACGCACACGGTTGTGTATTTTATTTTCTTATACTCTCTTGTGTATTTTATCTTCTGGGCTGGAGAATCCAGTCGTGATTCCGCCAGATCTTTGAAATAAATCGGAATCTCGTATCTCTAAGTACATATGTCACTTTAGATCCACTTTAAATCCGTTTTCAGTCCGGGCTCGATTGCGTCTTATCAATGCCAGGAACTATAAGATCTCGGGTCATCTTCCAGGAGAGAAGCATGTGCCGAAGATGAGATTTTCATTCAACTTTCAAATAAGGATGATCCTCTCAAGGCAATCCTGGAGCTATTTCAGCGAGCTCGAACATTGCCAAGCTACTCTTACGCTGGGATATAGCCTTCGTATACATCTCTCAAGGATGAAATATATATATACATACACACATATACACACATACACCACATACGCCAAAATACGCACGAACACATACTCGCCGGCTTATCCGTCAATCTGTTCGTTTACCTGACGGTGTTATTTCAATATAAATCACTCTGGCCCCGCTAGAACGAATATGCTTGCCTTTGACAGGGTGATTTTACCCTCTTTCACTTTTGCCTTCGTATAAAAATTCAGATTTCGCGGGGCGATTCGGCAGCCGCGGAAAATCAAAGACTTTGATGTATGTACGGGGTTTCCTTCGGCATTGCAACGCGCGTCTAGATCCACATGCATAGTCGCGAGAATGGATTTATCACCATCGTCCGTTATTGCAGCTGTACCGAAAAAAAAAAATCACCGCGTCCGATTATCGCTCGAGTATGACGAAGCCGTTCGTATCGCCGCGAGTTTTCTGGCGAAAAAAATCACAGTCGTTTGCATTTATATTAAAACTGTTTTTTGCACAGTGGCAGTTATAAGTAACTGTTACATAGAATTATTATCTCACAATTTAATCATCCATTCATTATTGCAAAATGCGATCACAATTCTCGTATCCCGTTAGATCGAAACGCTAAAAGCGCCGAATCACACGAAGCCTATTCTACAATGTGCTTTTTGTTTTCTGTTTTTTACTATTTTTTACATCTTGTCTTTTTGCTTCTTATCCGGTTTTTTGTTTTATGTCGCCTGAGATAAAAGTTTAACGAATTTCGGAAGAAACAGGAAATACATAGCAAGAAATGCAATTCTATAAAACGATTGCAAAAGAGGAGAAAGCAAGAAGTAAAAAACAAGAAACAGGAAAGAAACAAAGAGCAGAGTAAAACATCTTAATTCAGAGTAAAACAAAAGTCGTTATGCTATAATAATAATAAAAAAAAAGTTTGACTAATATACGGTAACAACAGAAAATTTTTTCATATAGATAGTCTATGATATGATATTCATAGTCGGTTCTTATTTCAAGTCCGTCTTAAGTAATGTCTTAAAATGATAAGACTGCCGTCTGATTGGTTCGTGATACCTCAGGACTGAACTTATAAATAATCTTGAATATAAGAACTAACTATGAATAACGGCCTATGACTACGTTTACACAGCTCGATTTACGCCGAAGTTGTAACATTGATGTTATGAAACTTGCTATAATCACAATCATTGCATTCTTCAGAGGAATAGCTATATGATTGGCTAGTTTCACAACACTGATATTATAACCGACGTAAATCGAGCCGTGAAAATTTATTAGTTAAAATCTTAATATTTATTCTTATTCCTAATATTTCCTCCATTGTACGTAGAGTCTTATTCTACTTGATTCAAGTCTCTCTTTCCTGGAAACTGGATTCAGTCCATTCACGTCTTCAACGCTTCAATTGTTGAACTTATCTTGAAGAAACATGAATGTGATCCCAGATACACAAAATAAATATAACACGATCTCGCGTGTAAAGACACAAAAGTACTCGAGACAAGTAAATCTTCAATACACTTTCATGCTTTTCGAATGACGGGGAGAACGGGATTATCTGCAGGCGTCGGTATTATCTGTAGAAAGCAGTACGTCTGCTTTCTGTTGAACGACAATAATCTTGACAAAAGAACGTACCGAGGAAAGCTTTTAGCTTATGTGCACTCGCTATAACTTAAAGGGATTATAATGCCGCTTGAATCATACGATGTAATCTTAGAACACTATTGATGTTGAGTGATATGTATTGTTATTGTATTTCCTTGTATGTAAATTGACCTATTTCCTTATAAATTTCACATACAAGAAAATAGGTCACTCTTAATTAATGTAAAAAAAATTTATACACATTTTTAATGACAAAATATTTATAAATCACTTAAATACAAGGAGCGTAAATTATGGCCAAAGTTAAATGTTTAACTAACACATATATATTTTGAATAAATTTTTTATCTTAGAAATATATAATAATTACACGCCGATTACTATTATTTATTTGTGTTTATAAAAGAGATCTAGATTAAAAAAATATTTATAAAATATAAGCTTGTCCGCAAGATAAAATTCTCTTCAATCGTGCGCGTAGCGTTTCAAGCCCTTGATATTTTTACTAAGAAAAAGTCTCAGCTCCATATTTTTGCTTAGAAAATCTGCATAAAAAGTGACTTTGTAGATCTCTTTCTGTCTCCCGTTTTCTCTCTCTCTCTCGTTCTCTATGGTGAGATATCTCGTGTATACATTAATATATAGCATCGGCTGAGCGCATAGATACGCGCATACAGCGTACTCGCGTGTCTCCCTTGACTTCGTGTCGCTTGAGAGGCATATCACACATTGAGAGGACGTGAGTCGCTTTGAAAAATCGTACCCGATATGCTGGCGGAACGAAGAAAAAGGGACGGTACGTGAGCACCGGGAAGGAAGGTAATGCTCCGGGTTTCCTCGCGCGCGCATACCGCCGCCAATCGTCCCCGATGGCGATGGTGCACCTGGGCTCTCGAATATGCGGCTAGCAGCATGTGCGACTCGTGTATGCACCCGTTTCCCCGAAAATTTTACGCGACCCCGGATAAGCGAAGATCGACGGCGTAAGTGAAATTCTCGCTCTTTCCGGGACCTCGACCGGAATCTCAAAATCTTCGACTCCGTCCAGCGACATCAAAGGGAGTCGCTGGACGGGCTTTGAGAAAGGAGGGCTCCCGAACCCTTTACAGATTTTACACGAGACGACGCTGCTATCGATTCTCTTTTTTTTTTCTTCCACTGTGCACCTGCACGGAATGCAGATACATGATTGGCTCGTTCCTCGAAAATCTTACATCGTTCGAATATGCAACGGATCGGAACGACGTAAATGAAATTCTCTCGCCTTTAGTCTGTGACTAAATCGAAGTTTAGGAGAAATAAAGGAAAGAGAAGTTTGTACTTTAACTTCAAAGAAAATTATCGAAGCGCAAATAAATGTGTATACAGGGCTAGGCACGTTTTGAAATACTCTTACTTGAAAAACAATATTTGTAAGACAATTGTATTTTGTATTTCGGCAGAGCGTATGAAAATATATTGTATTTTATATATTTCATTATTTGTATTTTTATTTCATATTTTGCATTTCAATATTATCTATAATAACGAAGATTGAAAGTATTTTATATTTCAAATATTAAGATTGACATCCAAACTTATTTGAATTACAAAATGCAAAAAACTTTCATTCTTTCAATTTTAAATATAAAATAATATTTTTATGTGCTCTGCTGAAATACAAAATACAAAATACACTTGAGTTGCAAGTACTGTGAAATAAAAGTATTTCAAATGGTCAACCTGCGTGAGAGAGAGAGAGAGAGAGAGAGAGAGAGAGAGAGAGAGAGAGAGAGAGAGAGAGAGTGTGTGTGTGTTTTGTACATCGGCTGAGTGTATACAATACATACAATAAGAAACATTTTATATATGTATTATTAAAATCAGTCCATCATACATTAAGTCCTTGTTAAAATTTCATGTAGAATTTTTAATATATCCGATTGTTAAT